TGAAGAAGCAATATCTAGATGCACTCTGTTCTCATCACAGGTACAATATTTTCAATGTTTCGTGTTAATTTCATCATTGGAGAGGGGGTATTACCTAGTGCTTCTGACTGGAATGATGCTTGGGTTTGGTGCTTAATGGTCACCCTATGAAGTAATGGAGATGGTGGTTTTCTTGTAGGAAGCACTCAATGGGGATGTATGTGGTGGGTGGGGAGGGGGTTAAGTCTTCTTCTCGCTTATTGGTAGATTTCATGACCCTCTAAAATGTATTATTGAGCAATACGAATAGAGCCTTATAGTCTTTTGCTATGTGGAGAAGCTTACTTAAAGAAATTTGGGTGTAGCTTTTCTACTTGTCTCTTCCAAGATTATTGCAATCAAAAATTTTCCTCCAGGATCAGTCTTTTCAAATATTTGCGATGGACGATGGTTTGGACATATGCAATGTGTCTATCGATCCATCATGGATAGTATTTCTAGCTATGCCTCCCCAATTTCATGGAGCTTGTCTCAAACCTTTGTTACAATTTGTGTGCCTAATAACCAAAATCATTTCTCATCTTCCAATTTTATGCTCCCTTCTGTTCTGTTAGCCGCATCTTAAACATGGGTTTGCTGGTTGCTTATCATAGCACATGTAGCTTATCATGATTGACCTGTTGTTATTCCACAAAGCGACCTTAAATTTAAAAGAATATTGAGGCACCCTTAGATACTAGTACTATCAAGATCGGAAATGTAGAGTAAAGCATATTTCAACTTGGTAAGTTACACCAGATAGCCTCTTGCATTTTTTAATTACAAGCAATTCTGCTATATTGTCACTGTAAATGAAAACTATTGAAGAAAAGATGTAAAGGTGTGCTGGCTTGCTTTTAGTTTTTTTAATGGTTAACTGTACTTACCACAAATGTAAATTATCTTAAAAAGTTCCCAGTATGTTGGAATCTTACATAGAATGTTTTTATGATTCCTCCTCCTGAGTTTTAGATCTTCAAAGGCGTTTTGCTCATTATCTTGTCGTCGTGCAGCCTGCTACCCTTGCCGCTAATGTAAGAGCTGTTTTTACATGCCTTCTAGACCAGGTAAGTTAGCCTGTGTCTTATTCACATTTTGGATCTTCTTTTCTGCTGGATATCCATGTCACCTACTTTATGCATTCCCCATCCTGTCTCATTCAGGTCAGTCTATACATAACAGAAGGGCTAGAAAGAGCTAGAGACAGCTTGACTGAGGCTGCAGCTCTCAGGGAACGGTTTGTATTGGGAACTAGTGTCAGCAGAAGAGTTGCTGCTGCAGCTGCTTCAGCTGTAATTACTTGATTCCTTTCCCCTTTTGTACATTTTAAGTAGGTTGTAGACCATGATTAGAAATATGAAGCAAGATGAGCTTCTTTCTTTAAACATAGAGTGGCCGAATCATGAGAGCTTAATGATCATGTGCAGGCAGAAGCTGCTGCTGCTGCCGGTGAAAGCAGCTTCAGATCTTTCATGGTTGCTGTACAACGTTGTGGAAGTAGCGTGGCCATTGTCCAGCAAGTATGTGTTTAGTATTGTTTGTATCACTTGATAATATGTTTTGACACGTGAGAGGTCTTCCCTTAACTTCCATTGAGATTAGAATTCTTTTACTGCAGTATTTTGCAAACTCTATTTCTCGGCTTTTACTGCCTCTAGATGGTTCTCATGCTGCTGCCTGTGAAGAAATGGCATCAGCCATGTCCAGTGCAGAAGGTGTTGCTTACAAAGGGCTTCAACAATGCATCGAAACGGTTATGGCTGAGGTTTGAGATCGAGAACTTGTCATAAAACACATGTTCAAGTCCTGTATCTCATTTTCTTCCATGATTGAAGTACCTGATTCTCGAAAATCTTATTAGGTGGAGCGACTGCTGTCAGCTGAACAAAAAGCAACAGATTATCGGTCACCTGATGATGGGATTGGTCCTGATCACCGGGCGACAAATGCCTGCACAAGGTATTCAGAAATTTATTACAGACTCCATGCAAAGTGGGAACACCACTGCGTGGCAGTTATTGCATTGAGTAATGTTACATGCTCTAGCAAAAATTTTAAACAAAATGTAAAGAGTAACCTATCAACTGTCATCTAGTCATTTTGAATTGCATAGGTCCCAGTTCATTGAGTAACCATTAACCTGCAACTACTATACCACTGTGTACATTTAATTGTAGGTTTTGTGAGTGCCGTTAATCTTCTGTCACCTACATTCAACTATGAATCAAATTTCAATTACAAAAGATTTCTCCTGAATTATTACTTGTGAAAAAAAAAAACTTAACCGTGTAACATTTATCAACTAGCAAAAGCACTTTGGTTTTGCATGGTTTTTTTATGTCGGAAAGAGCCAAAAAAAAAAAGGGAATCTAAAATATACACTCATTCTTGTCACCCTTGTATTCCAAGCTTATGATTTTCTGGTGAGCTGTACACATGTTGGGGGAAATAAGGTCCATATTCAATTATAACGCAATAATTCAGTTATTATTCATTGATCAATACTCAATTGGATTTACATTCTTCTATAGTGTGCCATGTGTCAGCACTCATGAGCAACACGGCTAATGAATGGCATGTATGTTTAATATTATCTCCAAATTTCATGCATTTCTTTTTGTGATCAGAGTTGTGGCCTACCTTTCCCGTGTGCTTGAGGCTGCTTTCACTGCTCTGGAAGGTCTGAACAAACAAGCCTTCCTGACTGAATTGGTACAGCAATTTTATTTTCTTCAACATAAAAGTTTTATTTGATTCTATGGATTTTGCTACCTACATTTATCCAGTCTGGGAACATATCATGCCAGTAAATGTTAAGCATTGTTTACTGATACATCTAAATTTTCAGGGTACATGATGCCACTTAGCCCATGTTTGATGCCATTATTGCTCATGTTGTCCCAGTTTGGTGGACCATGTTTTTCTTTTTAGTCAAATAGACTTTGAATGTTTTGGTATTGATTTGCATGATTTTAGGTAATCGCATCTGAAGAACAAGAAATTATTTATAAGACTATCAATCACTATGCTAACTACGATTTTTTTGTAAAATAACTCTTCAATATACTGGTTAGAGCAAGTCAGTCTCACGTAGACAGAGTTTGATTTATTACACTCACATTTACTTTTTCAAGTGGTAACCATTCAGCATATTCACACAGGGAAATCGCTTGCACAAGGGACTGCTTAATCATTGGCAGAAGTTCACTTTTAACCCGAGGTAATTCCTTGCTATATGTTGCAATTGCCAGTCCGTAACTTTGGAAGTCACGTGTGTAGTATTGCTAAAATTCTCTGCTGGTGGTATGTCCATACTGATGACTTGACATGAATGTAACTGCATTTGTTATTGCAATTTTTATGTGCCATTGTTGTTTACAATGGTTCAATATGATAACACACCCACGAAGCTCTAAAAATAACCTGGCAAGTTTGCACGGTCATGCAAAAAAGAAGTTAATGTGTTGGCATCATTTGCATCTACAGTGGAGGACTACGGCTGAAACGTGATATAACTGAATATGGGGAATTTGTTCGTAGTTTCAATGCTCCTACAGTTGATGAGAAATTCGAGTTGCTTGGCATGTAAGTTATGGTATTTTGAAGATGTGTGCCTTATATCTCCCCCTACCCTTAAGAGAATTCTCGCAACAGAATGTAGGCAATACATTATCTTTTGATTTACTGACATAACATTTGTCTCCAGCATGGCCAATGTCTTCATTGTTGCTCCTGAAAGCCTGTCGACTCTTTTTGAGGGAACTCCAAGTATTCGAAAAGATGCACAAACGTATGTATTTATTGATCTTTTATGCACTAAAGTTAGATTAAACTTGCCTCACATATTATTTAAAGAACTATAAGATATCTTTGTTGTACGTATTTAATTAAGAAATGTCTTTAGATTCTTACTAAAAAAAGTAATTCTGTGCATGTATCTTCAGTACCCCTATGAAGTTCTGTGAACTGTTTACTTTTTTCTGAACTTTTATTATAAAAATGTACCTGAGGCATTCTCTTGAGCAGTTACTGAAGCAACTTTGAGACTTGGAGTATGTATGGCTAAGCTTAAAAGGTTTACTTTAAGTAATTTTTTATTAATCAAAATGTGCCAGTAATTAAGAGATACTTCCAAACTAAGTAACTCTATCAACTCAAATATAAGAAAAAGTACACTTCAGGAAACAAAAAGTAACTTTTTTTTAATTGTTTTTGAGCTTAGCCAAATATGCTTAATAATTCCAAAAAGTAATTTTTTTTTATTGTTTTTGGGCTTGGTCAAATATGCTTAATAATTACATTTCAAATGTTAATACTTCAAATAACTGCAAACTCAGGTTTATTCAGCTCAGAGAGGACTATAAGAGTGCAAAACTGGCAGCTCGACTCAGCTCCTTGTGGGCTAGCTCGAGTTAAAGCAGCGATTGCATGCTGAAGAAGATAGAAGTCAAGAATTCAATAGTTGGTCACAACAAGGTGTTCAACTGGGATGGCTTTTACATCCCATATGAGATTCTTGTTCAATACCTTGTGTGGAACAAAAAGATGCTACTTTGATTGCGAGTTCAGCAAACCCGTCCTTAGAAAGAGTTAAGCAGTTTCTCTGTTTTCATCTCTAGATTGTATTTTCTTATAGTTAAAAACTTCCTTGCTATCTTAGGAGTTGGTTCGAGAGAACTTTCATAATGGACTTGCTTATCTGTTGTGACTGCGTGTATTTCTTGTTATGTGATTTATGGAAGTAAAGTTCATACATGATTTTGTATCTTTATAAATTGATTATGAGCAATACATGCTGATCGGTATATATTGGCGTAGTTGTGCTGAGATTTTGAGTTGATCCTCCCAAAATTGGATAGAAGCTTCTCCAGTGATAATACTTAGTACTCGAGCCTATTTTATGTTATAAACCTCGATGAAGCACACAGGTAAGCCAGTTCTGGTCCTCTGGAAAAGTTATTTTGACAGAAGAGGGAGAATGCTCATATTCTTACTAGCCAAAGTGCAAAGCCTGGTATCCTGTCTCTGGTTAGTTGGCTTTTCCGGAGCCATGCTTTAAGTAGCAAGCACCTTTCTCCAATATCTTTAAACCCGTAAGATTGGGCTGGATTCGTCTGTCCTTCGGTCCTTGAATCCCTCGATCCATCTAGTCGAGAAGCCTGGCATGTTGTTATGATCCTTGACAGGATTTTTGACAAGTCAAAAGTTATTTATGAGACAAAATTTATTTATTTTCAAACATGTTTGGATAATTTTCTAGTAGTGCTTAGTAGGATTAAAAAAACTTTTAGAGAAAGTTGATTTAAGATAGCTTCCTTAGGAAGCTCTTCTATAAGAGGTGGAAGCAAAAACCTTAGCATCTTTATCAAAGGTTGATTTCATGCTCTCTTATTTTGATTAATGCATATGATTTTCCACGAGGTATACAAAAAATCACTCGTATGGAGCCTGCATCGGTGCTCCCATCACTTGGCCACATTAACAATGGGTTGTGCAATATTTCTTCCACTTCTTTTTTTTTTTTTTTGATATTCAGGTATCTCAGCTTACACCAGATTATGTTTTGGACAACCAATCCCCGCCCCTCAGCGATGGGTGGAAGTTAATATTTCTTCCACTTCTTTACAATGGTATTGGCTTGTCTGGTGTTGCTTTTCAAGAGGTTGGGAATTGATTTATTGACTGTTGAGCACAATGTTTCAAAAATCATGTGAGTGGAAGTCAAATTTTGCTGTCGATGGGGCCCCTTCCAACGGTTGGAATTCCAGTTAAAATTGGATTTTAATACCCCTAATAGTGCTAGAAAGCATATTTACGAGTGTGGCTAGGGGCTACTCTGATCCGCTTTTTCATGGAAGCTTTTCCTATAAAGAATTGAAGGTCTAGCTCCTCTGTCTCTCTTGTCACGCATTTTGAAATATACGATTGTTACGCTTGTGCCTGTTTGGCCCAACCTGATTTTAGGAGTGAAAGAATAATGCTATGTAAATTACTTGTGCTATATTAACAGTTTAGGTGGTGTGCAAGTGTTATGTCATCTTAAATACGACACATTTTCCTATTTTTGATATGACTAGTGGTGCATTGTGTATTGCACGATTACCGTTATATTTTTTCTAAGTAATTTTGTTAAAATGATAATCTATTTCAAAACGATTACCTAACCTCACACCCAGAATCAATGGACGATCACGTGGCGAGAGTTTCAAGACTGTTATTGGAAATCAAAGGATATTTCCAATTTTTTTTGTTAAATCTAGTGTGCATATCCTTGACAAAGATCATGATTTCTTGACCTCTTGCAGTGACTATCAACAACCAAGTAAATCGAGTTAATACCTCATGTTTATAAAACCAATTTTGGGGAAAAATAAATTTGATTTGAAAACTGAAATGATTTAACGTCTGAACATTCGTTTACTATCTGCATCATCTGAAGGCTCCTAAACGATGTAGTGCAACAATTGTTCAACCTAAGCTCTATTTCTCAAACTAAACACCAATAAAATTTCATATTGTCTTCACAAAACTTTAAAACTAAAAGTGAAACCAGCGAGTCATTGTAAGGGTGTGATTGCCAAGGAACCATGATTCATTAAAAAGACACTCATAACATAGATAACAATACTAATAAACAGAAATATGCAGCTCAAAAGTAAAAGCGCCACATGTTACAGAATATATTCCTAGAATAGGAAACAAATATATATCCTGAATTATAGGGATTTGATGTAATTAGTTTCATTCCAAATATAGGATTTGTAAGTTGTATATATACCTAAGAGGTGATGAATATAAAGTAGAGAAATTACTTTCCTCTCGTTACATGGTATCAGAGCACTTAGGGTTTTTTTCTTGGGGTTTAATTTTCGGCCATAAACAGTGGGTTTTCTTTGGGCTTTCTTGGCTTACCTATTTCCGGTAGCCTCTGATCTTACCATCTGCACCTGGGGAAGTGCCGACCACCACCTGACCTTCGCCCGGTGTTTCGTCGTCGGAATCGTACCCTGTAAGCCACGCCACCTGCTGGAATCAACTGCGTTCGGCGTTCCTTGCTGAAATTGACTTCGCCCGGTGCTTCTGTTGTGACCTTGTTCGGCGTCGCGCCACTTGCTGGTCGGACTTCGCCCGGAGCTCCTGCTGCCAGAATCTGGTTCCTCTTTACTTGTTCTGCTCAGGACATTCTTTTCTACCTATTTGGGACATGTTTGGTATTATCACATTTTTTGCTACCTGTGTGAGACGGGTTCGTGGTTTTTAATTTGTTTGGGGGTCTTTTGCTCTATTATTTGGCTGAAATTTGATAATATGGAGGAAAAGAAGTCTGTCGTTGTATCTGACGTGATTCCCATGATCACGGAACATAAACTTAATAGATCTAATTATTTAGATTGGAGTAAATCTGTTCGACTTTATTTGCGGAGTATTGCTATGGACAATCACCTAACTGATGCACCACTTAGTGATGATTCGAAAACCTCGTAGCTCAGAGAGGATGCCCGTCTGTTTTTGCAAATTCGTAATTCTATTGATAGTGAGGTAGTTGGTTTGATAAATCATTGTGAATTTGTAAAAGAATTGATGGATTATTTGGGGTTTGTGTACTCTGGCAAGGGAAATATCAAACGCACTTATGAGGTATGTCAAGCCTTTTATCGGGTAGAAAAAGGTGACAGATCTCTCACTGACTACTTTATGGATTTTAAAAAGACTCATGAGGAACTTAATATGCTGCTTTCATTCAGTACTGATGTGACAGTTCAGCAAGCTCAGCGAGAAAAGATGGCGGTTATGAGTTTCTTGGCTGGTCTTTTCTCTGAGTTTGAGACTGCTAAATCTCAAATTCTATCTAGTCCAGATATATCATTGTTAGAAGAAGCATTTAGTAGGGTACTCCGCATAGAATATTCAGCTTCTACTCAATCCTGGCGGTGATGAGCTTCTTAGCTGGTCTTCCTTCTGAGTTTTACACTGCTAAATCTCAAATTCTTTCTAGCCCTGAGATATCCTCTTTGGAAGAAGCCTTTAGTAGGGTACTCTGCACAGAAAATTCAGCTTCTACTCCGCCTCATAGTGCTCTCGTCAGCCGCACCTCTGAATCTGGGAGACAGTCCTATAGAAGTGGTAATAAGGGGGACAACTCAAGTAGCTATGATCGACATTCAAGTGGCTATGATCGGAATCTTGGTACTCGAGGACAGGATTTGGGAGGTGCTATATGTTACTATTGTCATAAGCCAGGACATGTAAAGAGAGAGTGTAGAAAGTTACAGCGCAGGAATCAATCGAACCAATCCGCCCATGTTGCATCTACTAATGATGCTTCTGAACCCATTCTAATATCTGCAGATGAGTATGCCAAGTTCTCACAGTACTAGGAATCTCTAAGGTCTTTATCTACTCCTATTACTGCCATCGCCGATTCAGGTAACAAAAACACATGTCTTGTTTCCTCATCTTCCAAATGCGTCATTGATTCTGGTGCCACAGATCAAATGACAGGTAGACTCACGAGGAGCTTAATATGCTACTTCCATTCAGTAATGATGTAAAGGTTCAGCAAGCTTAGAGAGAGAAGATGGCGGTTATGAGCTTCTGGCTGGTCTTCCTCTTGAGTTTGAGACTGCTAAATCTCAAATTCTTTCTAGCCCTGAGATATCCTCTTTGGAAGAAGCCTTTAGTAGGGTACTCCGCACAGAAAATTCAGCTTCACTCCGCCTCATAGTGCTCTCATCAGCCGCACCTCTGAATCTGGGAGACAATCCTATAGAAGTGGTAATAAGGGGGACAACTCAAGAAGTTGTGATAGACACTCAAGTGGCTATGATCGGAATCTTGGTACTCGAGGACAGGATTCGGGAGGTGCTATATGTTACTATTGTCATAAGCCAGGACATGTAAAGAGAGAGTGTAGAAAGTTACAGCGCAGGAATCAATCAAACCAATCCGCCCATGTTGCATCTACTAATGATGCTTCTGAACCCATTCTAATATCTGTAGATGAGTATGCCAAGTTCTCACAGTACCAGGAATCTCTAAAGTCTTTATCTACTCCTATTACTGCCATCGCCGATTCAGGTAACAAAAACACATGTCTTGTTTCCTCATCTTCCAAATGAGTCATTGACTCTGGTGCCACAGATCACATAACAGGTAATTCTAGTCTATTTTCTTCCTTTAAGTCACATGCCTCTTGTTCTACAGTTATTTTAGCCGATGGGTCTACATCTCATGTTCTAGGGTCCGGCATCATTCTTCGAACACCCTCAATTCCTTTGCGAAATGTTCTAAGTTTACCTAATTTATCTTTTAATTTAGTCTCTATCAGTAAACTTACTCGTTCTCTTAACTGTTGTGTCTCATTCTATCCTAGATTTTGTCTGTTTCAGGATCTTATGACAAAGAAGATTATTGGTAAAGGACATAAATCTGGAGGCCTCTACATTCTTGATACACACACACCCAACTCTGTTGCATGCTCTAGAGTTGTGACCCCTTTTGAAGCACATTGTCGGCTCGGTCATCCTTCGTTGTCTGTGTTAAAGAAACTTTATCCTCAATTTTCTAGTTTATCTTCATTAGATTGTGAGTCCTGTCAGTTGGCCAAACACCATCGTTTCAGTTCTAGTCCCAGAATCAATAAAAGAGCTAATGCTCCTTTTGAGTTAGATCACTCCGATGTTTGGAGTCCGTGTCCCGTTGTGTCAAGATATGGGTTTAAATATTTTGTTACTTTTGTTGACGATTATTCTCGAATGACATGGTTATTTTTAATGAAAAATTATTCAGAACTGTTCTCGCATTTTACAGCTTTTTGTGCTGAAATCAAAACTCAATTTACCGTTCCTGTACAAACTTTGAGAAGTGATAATGCTAAGGAATATTTGTCAGAACACTTCCGTAATTATATGGCTCAACATGGAATTATCCATCAAACTTCTTCTGTCGATACGCTATCTCAAAATGG